TGTGGCAGTTGAACGCAGGACCTTGTGATTGCTAGACATTATTTGAGCCATGGCTTCAGCCCTAGCTGTTTTTTTTTTTATAGCATTGGGTTTCATTTAGATGATGTAAATATTTTATATAATTTAATATGTTTCTACATTAACATTTTAACTCATTTGGAGTTTACTTTTGTGTATGTTAGGAATTAGGTATCTAAGTTTTCTGCCTTATTTCTGCTTTTTAAATAGTTAAAATACCATAGGAATTAGTTCCTTTTCTTTTTTCCCTCCTTTCCTCCCTCCTTCCCTCTCTCCCTTTTTGTGGGATTGGGGATTAAACCCAGGGCCCTGTGCAAATGCTCTACCTCTTGAACTATACCTCCCAGTTCTTTTGTTTTTATTTATATATTTTTTTCAGATAGAGTCTTGCTAACTTTGCCCCAGCTGACCTCAAACTTGTGAGCCTCCTACTTCTGCCTCCTGAGTAGTTGAGATTATAGGTGTGTGCCTCATGCCCAGCTGTAATTAATTGTTTATTAAAGGTCTAGAAGAAATTACCTGTACAGTCTTTTAGGCCTGGAACCTTTATGGTGGGTAGGTCTTTGAATGCTTTCTAATTTTTGTTCCTATTGTTAATAGTCTACACACTTTTAGTTTTGTTAACTGTTTTTTTTTCCTCCTGGGACATCATTGGTGGTTGGTTTAGGTGCTTTCAGCCCTTACAGTCCTTGATTTTGGGATTATTTCTAGATTCTTGTTCTCTTTTTGTTAATAAGCGTCTTTGGCTCTGTTTCCTATCAGTGTAGTCTGTCCTGCTCTTCTTACAGAATTTTCTAATGTTAAGGTCTGATTGTGTCTTGTTTTTCTAACATTTTAATTTTAATTTTTTTTCTGTCATTTTGGAGGGATTTGGTGAGAGATAAGAAGTAAATGCATATCCAGTTAACTTTTTGAATAGGAAATCACAATTCTTTCCTGAGTGGTTTTCTTTTATTGTAGTCTTTTGTTTAAGTACTGTTTGAATAGTAGTCAGATGGACTTTTACTTTTTTTTTTAAATGGTATTAGATGTCTCAACAGGATGTACTTATTGAGAAGAAATGTTGATATATTGTGACTATATATATTCAAGTAGTACTTTTTAAACCTGGAAGACCTAGCATAGCATTATAACTATCAGGAACTTTACAGATCATTAGACTAACTGCCTTATTTTATGGAAGAGGATTTTGAGGGACAGCGAGATTCTGATCATAAGATGGAAAACCTAAGTCTCTTTCCATTGTGCCATGCTGTTTAGTACTAACACATTCTTGTTGGTCTGCTTGGCTGTTTAGTGAGGAGGTATTTCTGCTAATAAAGAAAAACATTTTCTTAATTTAAAGATGTTACACATGACTTCAATTGCTTCTAAAGTTTGGTCTTAGATATTTTACTTAATGTATTGTGTGGATACTGCATTTTCTCAAATAAGAATTAATTATTATGATATAAAGGTGAATTTTAAAAGAATGGGCTGTCAGGATATGCTCTACCCTAAATGAAAACCATATAGTTTATTTTTCCCAGGTTTCCTTTTTTTCTGCTTGTAGACTGCATGTGATTTATGGACTCTCTGAATTTCTTATTAATATTTTAAAGAAATTTAAGGAATATAAATATATATGGGCTTGAAAATAATTTTAGTTATGAATGATCAAGATTTTTCAGACTTAACGATTTTTAATTTTTTAGGTTAATATAACGTGCTGTTAGACCAACACCTAAACTTAAAAGGCTAATCTATAAGCTTTTCAAAGGAAAGCACTTGGCTTATTTCAGTGGGCATTGTGGGATGTATTTATCAAATTTTCATTGTTTTTCTTGGTCTTTAACTTCAACAGAAAGTTTTTTAAATGTAGGATTTGATTATTGATATCTCATGTTTGTAATCATGTTTTTAGTGTCTTAAAAGCATTGAGAGTTTGTTATATGTAGCATGAATGTACTTGAGTGGGTTCTCTTTTCCTCTCAGCAGTTGAAGTTGGAATGTAGTTGTTGTAGAATTTATTCTGAGATTTGTTTACTTATCTTCACATTGTAACTCTTTTAGTGCTTTCGAAGTAAATGAATCTTTTTTTCTTTTTTTGGCGGTATTGGGGGTTAAACTTAGGGCCTCATGATACCACTTGATCCACACCTCCAGCCCTTTTTTGCTTTAATTACTTTTCGGATAGGGTCTCCTTTGTTTCCCCAGGCACACCTATGTCTGTGATCTTCCTACCTATGCCTCCTACATACCTGAGATTACAGATGTGAACCACCACACCAGTTTATTTCTTGAGAGGTGGTTTCACTAATATTTTGCTCAGGTTCACCTTGAACGTGATCCTCCTGATCTCCACCTCTTAGGTAACTGGGATTACAGATGTGAGCTACCATGCCTAGCCCAAATTTTTATTTTTTGTTGTTGTAAACTAGAGAACAAACTACAATATGAATTCTAAAAATGTATTTATTTTGGCAGTTGGCTATAATGGCAAATGAAGACATTAATGAAGATTATCCAGTAGAAATTCATGAGTATTTATCTACATTTGAGAACTCCATTGGTGCTGTGGATGAGATGCTGAAGACCATGATGTCTGTTTCTAGAAATGAGTTGTTACAGAAGGTATTTTAAGAATTTAATTTCTCAAGATGAATTTCATAAGACTTAGTGTTGTTTAATGAAACATAGAAAAAACAATGGGTTAGTGATATATGCTTCTTTCTCTCTTTATTTCAATTTTATGTGCATTTGGTTTTATTTAGGGAGAAAAAAATCTAAAATTTCAGCCTTAGGCAACATTTCCTACCTGTATTTTATTTTGACTTGGTTTCGAAAAGCAAGGAGCACTGGCAACATTCTTTTTGACAGACTCTATCTTTGACCTTTTAAGTATTACAATGATGTTATCAGGGTTTCTGGAAACTATAGGACAAAAACAGAAAATTGACTTTGACAGTCTAAAACAAATCTCATTATGTTTCTTCTGTCTTCAGTATTGCCTAAGCATTTTAGCCTGCTTCTTCTACATAAATGCATCATGTACAATGTTTATATTGAAAAATTGCTTTTGACATAAAAGCCCAGATCGTAACTCCTAAAATTAAAATAATTCAGAAGAATTTTTCTTAGGTTTTATACATTCTTTGTTTAACTAAAGATGATACCCTGAGGTGAAAATTTGTTACCAAAATCATTGGTTAAGAAAACTTCTTCTTTGTTCAAATTATTTCCAGATCATTTAGTTACTGGATTATAGGAAGTGAAAAAAACATTTCTTTGATACATCATACTTGGTGAAAGTTTAACTGTTACCTGATGGTCTTCAAAGTTTGTGTGTGTATTTCTTTTGTCTTTTTTTTTATTAGTTGGACCCACTTGAACAAGCAAAAGTGGATTTAGTTTCTGCATACACCTTAAATTCAATGTTTTGGGGTATGTATATTACTTTGGGGTTAATTAGAATTAAAATTATTTATTGTGTCAAGGGCGATATGTTTTTTAAATGCTAGCAGTTTTTATATAATTATATTTTATGGCAGTTTTAATTGTTTATTTCTTTTATGTCAGAATACTGGATGCCCATGAACCACACATAAATTTGATATTATATAGAGGTTGAATAATTTAAAATTTGATTAACCATACATGCAACCACATTTTTTTTTTTTATAAGTAACTAGGGTTTTTGTTCATATGTTTTGCTCTGACTTTATGTTTTGAGGACTGTACTGGGAGTAAGCAGTGTTTTTTAAATTGGAGTACTCTTATTAGTAGGTACACCAGTTTATCCCATGAAATCTTTCTCTTGTAGTTTATTTGGCAACTCAAGGAGTTAATCCTAAGGAACATCCAGTAAAGCAAGAATTGGTAAGACTTCAGTTAACTTATTTTTATTTATATGTCTGTTTGTTATAGTGTTGTTAAAGATTCAGTCACACTCCCATCATCACATTAGTTATGGAGAACAAAATTAGAGTTGATACTATAATAAGTGATCCAAATCTGATCATGTCTTTGGTTTTTCTCTCTTACTTTTCTCAGAGAATTGGTGTTCCCTATATTCTATAAATCTTAGGATGGGAAAATGTTACGATTCTAGTAATTATTTATAACTTCCATATTATTTTTCTTCTAAATTCTTAGGATCCTGTTCATCTCTAAGGCTATTTTTTTCTTTTTTAAATTGTTACACAATTTTTAAAAGTGTATTCTAGTTGATTTACTAGCAAAGACGGGAAAGTTTCTCCCCCACCTTTTCAATTCCTCCATTAATTCATTTTCTCAGCAGTAAAGAATCCAGTTCAGCAACAAAGCTAAAAGCTTTTTTGGCACCAGCAGTATGTGTACTGTCCAGTAATTCTGCATTAGTGACATATTTACAACCTGTAATAAATCTTCCAGATTTGTCTTTGTATTCCATTTAGATGTATAAGTATAGTATATAAGGTCTGATATCTTGGAGTTTTTGCTGACTTCAAATATTAAATCAAATCATCCAGTTTGAAGAGAAAAATTACAAATCAAACTTATGGTTACCTTCTTGACTTTATGAATAAGCATATTAATAAATTCTTTGTGTTTATAAAATACAAACTATATACATACACATATATATGTATATACAAAAAATACACTTGACATTGTATTCTTCTCAAGTCTTATAGTAGTTGATATATATGCTATTTACAACTTAGTAAAGCACTGGTCATTTTTTAAAAAATTGAGTAAATCATACCTGTGGTCTTCATTTTTTTAAATGTGTGGACTAAGATATTTTCTTCTTATAGAGTTCTCAAGAGAAAAATAAATTTATTTACTAATACAGCAGTTGTGAGAAACATGTAAAGCCAAAGCATAAAACAATGCAATATGCAAATTTTGGCTTGACCAGTGATGCTGTCTTTAAACCTTAGGAAGGATAGATTGTATCATCTGTTTTTAGCTTTCTAATGTGGGCCTTAAACTTATAAAATTCCCTTCTTTTTCTTCAACACACAGTTATTTAGCATGCTTAATACTGTTTTTGTAAAAGATAAGATCATTGTTTTCTTCCTCAGAACTCATTTTTTTGGAGTAGTACATTAATATTCTGGACAAGGGTTGGCAAATAAAAAGCATTCTGAAGCCTGTTCCCTTTTTCTGACTTTGTGACAGACATTACTAATTGATCCCAGAATTAGTGATGATAGGAGGCCTTTTTTGCTACATATATCACAGATGGGGACAGACATTGAAAATAGTTACTTTATTCAATGATATTTGAATGCCTACTGGGAGATAGGCATTTCTAAGTGTGATGATTCCTCAGTGAACAAAGATGAGGAATATGGCAGAGCCACATTAGGTGGAATGGAGGGAGAGAAACAATAAACATAAAATAAGCAGTATTGAATAAATATATATATATGTATATGAATATATAGTGTGCTAAAAAGTTATGTTATGGGAAAAAAAGAAAAAAAGTAGGATAAGGGAGATTCGAGTACTTGGGTCGATTGCAGTTTTAAATGGTGAAGTCAGGACCTCATTGACAAGGTTAACAGTTGAGCAGACTAGGAGAAGAGAGAGATTAGGTGGGCAGATATTAGAGGGAAGATCTTTCTAGAAAGAGGAATAAGCAGGGCAAAGGCCCCAAAGCAGGAGTGGGATGTTTGTGTCCTGTTCTGCTATCTACTATTGTAAGGACTGTGGGTTTTACAGTACTCAGAAATGGAGATCCAGTAGAGGATTTTAGGCAGAGTTGCCAGTTTTTTTTAATGAAAAAATTCTAAGGGTCTGCATTTTTCTGTGTATGCTTATGCAACTGTTTTGATTATTTTAATCAAACTTGCTTTTAAGCAGTGATCAATCATTTTATACTTCTTACCAACTTTATTTCTCCATTTGAAGAATAGGATAGCCATTTATGCTGATTAATGTTCTCAGAAGATTCAGAGTGGTCTAGCAACATACTATGTTTCTCACCTTGTAAAATCTGATTAGAACTATATATTTTATTAGAAAATTTCATGCATTTATCAGTCAAAATTATGAAATTAAATAAAATATATCATTTTCATTCTGCCTATTTTAATTGTGACACTAGATGGTAACAAAAAATAGATAGCTAAATACTGTCTCATCTATTTTCTGTTTAGAAAAGTAACAGAATTTAATTTATAGGTTGCAAATCTATGAGAATTCAGATTTTAGACTTTATAGAGTTTAGATTCAGTAATAGTTAATATGTGGATTTAGGTTAATGCAAATTTTAAAAAGTGTAACAACATATAAATAATTGAGTATTTATCTCTGTAGTGATGTCCTCGTATAATTCTTTCTCTTTGGAAACACTCAGAATACTTCTGAAATGACTTTTTAATGTTTGTCAGTCCCTTAGCCTGTGAACTCCAGGAATGTGTGGAGCATGTTTATCCTGTTCACTTGCATTTACTCGCACCAGGCACTTAATGGGCAATAAATACATATCTGTTGAGTTTAACTGAGGTATAGTATAATAAAACTCAGTGGTGGTGAACAGCTCAGTAAATCCATTTCCTTTCTTCTGCTTTTTATCTCTAAGGAAAGAATCAGAGTATACATGAACAGAGTCAAAGAAATAACAGACAAGAAAAAGGCTGCCAAGCTGGACAGAGGTGCAGCTTCAAGATTTGTAAAAAATGCCCTCTGGGAACCAAAACCTAAAAAGGCATCGAAAGTTGCTAATAAAGGAAAAAGTAAAAATTAACCTTTTGGATTTGATGCATCCATATTCAAAAGTGCATCATTTATTGTTTTCACAAAATAGATTATGTGGCAATGTAAGATTTAAATGTATTCCTGTTTGAATTCACATATATATATATTTTAAATTAAATTTATAATGTTAAGTATTTTTTCCCTGAGAAAGATTAAGTTGTCTTTATTGATTTTTCTATAGAGCACCATGAAGTTTTAAACATTGTGATATATTTATAGTTTATCATCTCCTTTGATGAGACATTTACTTCCTTATATAGGTCAATCTTGGGAGTACCAATTTATAAGCAACTGTGAAATTTAAGTTAAATGTTCTTTGTAAACATTTGTAGTGTTTTAAGTGACTTTAAGAAATAATGCTGTCTGTAGGCTGAAGTTATAGTACATCTGTTTTCACTATGTAATGAGATGACTTAAATGTCCACTTTTTTCCTATGTAGTTCATTCATCATGTTTTCATATTTTTAGGAATTACTGCTTTCTTGGTGTTCAAAGTGTGAAATTAAAATTTTAAGGTTGTACTTTAATTCCTGGCATGTTGCCTATATGTCTCATTTAAAATAAAATATATTCTCATTAACTTTAGATGGGAAATAAGGTTGTATGTTGATGGCTGAATTTGGCCTGATATCCTCTTAATAAAGATTGCAGATGTTCTGTAACTGACCTGTCTGTTTTTCTTTTTTGAGTAAGTATGCCTTCGAAATTAGGAAGATAGGTTTTAGAAGTCACATTGAATAGAGAAATTGATAAGGTTTTGTTTCTCAGTTCTTTTGTTGTCACTTTTTTAGGCTTTTTTGATTACATATTTTCAAGGCTGTATAAAGACTGACAAGTATTTTGGAAAAACTTTCTTTGCTACATAATACCATTTAAACAGAGAAGTCCAAAGGAGATTACATTGTAATTAGCTTCTGATTTGTTTTGGAGTATTTGTTATGAAGAATCTACATGCAAACCTTTTTTATGTCTAAGCCCATGGATTTTAATTATACACCTTAATGCTTTCAGTCTTTGAATCCACGTCGTTACATATAGGAATGCAAGGATAGTAAAGTACTTTAATTTTTGAAAAAGGAGTTGTTAAAATTTTCTGTGTGATTAATTCTCCATAAGTAACCTTGAATAAATGGATCTCTTGATTTATGGTAGCAGATATTGGAAATGGTCTTAAAATGTAATGGATTTTGTTAAAGCATGTTGAAATGTTTCTGTGGTACATGAAGAGGAAGTCACTGACAGATACAGACAGTCTTTTCTGGCTCTGAAAGCAGGCAATTTTTGAAGTAGAAGAACATTTCTGAATATTTATAAATGCTTCACTCCTTTTTCTTCTTTCATTCTCTCAAATTTCAGCTATTTAAAAAAGTAAATTAATGAGAGAAATGAGTGTTTTTTAAAAGATATTTTTGTTGTATTCATTACAAAGAAAATGTAACTTGCATTTCTGTATATTTTTAAACTTCACAAAGAAAAAAACTTAAATGAAAAATATATAATTAAAGAAAATCATTAGCCAAAGTTTTGGTTTGTGAAAGTCCCATTCCAAATTCTATTAAATTGGAGATTTTAAAGTAATTCTTTTAGTGTTTCTTTGTAGAAGTAGAAAATAGTTTTGAGTGTATTCCATTTTATTAAATATAATTTGAAATACTTAGAACATAACAAGGAACTGAATGGTATTAGTGCATTGGGTTACTTCTCTGTTTGCTGTTTGTTTATTCATTCTACAAATATATTTACTGACATTTGTATTGCCAGAATCTGTGGTAGGTGCTAGGTTTCAAAACCTCCAGCCTTTATCCTATTTTTATTAAGTGTTCCTGAAAAATACCTTTTTATTTCAATTTAGTGTTTCAGTGTTACTGGAAAGTTTATGACAAATTGTGCTCATTAACCTTAGTCAGAACCATAAAGAGTGATGGGATGATCTATTTGATTATGGTGCAGATATTGTTAATGTAGTTTGTTCCAAATGACAGTCTGCTCTGAGTTTAGGTGTTAATTACATCTTTTATTAATCTCTTTGGGAATCGACAGGTTGAAGAGGTTGCAGTTAGAGGTATTTTTAAGAATAGAATTATAGACTATTAATCTAATGCTAAATAATGAGATCATGTCTCTTACTATTTTAAGTAAAATTTTCTTCTTGTTCATAGTTTCAGGATAGAAATTCATTTTAGCCATGTAGAATATGTTAAGAGAAAAATTGAAGATTGAATTATGGTTTACCTTCCTGGAATTAGGAGGGTATGTCGAGCTGATGGCTTTTTAAGATACCCTGCAGATTTAAAATGTTTTCTACTTAACTATTAGAAATGGATTGGTATTATTTCTAAATAAGGCTTTTATAATTGACTTGAAAGGTAGGAAATGCTTCAAAAATGGACAAAGTACTGTATAGACACTTTTTTCCCTTAAATAGATCATTGGAGGAAAAGATACTTTAGGAATCATTCAGTTTATAATTCAGTTAAATTATAATTTTATACAATAAATTATCAAAAATTCTGGCTTTCAAAGTACTGTTAACTCAGAAAGATTTGAATAATGATTCCAAACCTTGTGTAAGATAAGGGAAGAAAAAGAAGCACAGATAGGTCACTTTCTTTCTTGATAGCATACTTTTAGTAAGCTTGTTCATATAAAAGCTCAGTGGCTCTTCTACTGAATGATCTTGTCAGTGAGCAGTTTTATAGAAATGTGACGTGAGTATACCTCATGGATATAGACATTTCTCTTTTCCCATATTCAGTTTTGGAAGTATTGGCCATGTTTTGTTTATCTTTTTTTTAAGCCATCTTTATTAGTATAATAATTGTACAGGGGATTTTGTTGTGATATTTCCATATATGCATACATATGTACTCCAGTTTGGTTTATCCTTGTTCATCTTGTAAGCGTTTTATATATAAATTACGTTAGGGGAAAAGTATATAGGACTATAATGGAATTTGTAAATTTGTTCTGCTTGATAAGTTTGCTATTATGTTGCTTATTAGCAGGATTTTATAAAGAAAATATTTTTTGTTTGCAGATTTATTTTTCTATCAAAGTGAGCTAATAGTTATAGACTACTCCTTGAAACATCCACCCTCTGACGTGAGGTGTCTTTTTAAAGTACCTATTTTATGGCATAATTTTTTTGTGGGTGTTGGGGATCAAACTGAGAACCTCATATGGGTTAGGCAAGTGCTCTATCACTGAGCTGTACCCATCCCCAGCTATGGCATGCTTTTTAATATAGCCAGAAAGATCAGTAAAGCTCTCCAGAAAAGGGGCAGCTTAGTGATAGCTATTGGCAATTGAAGCTTGTTTTTAATTCCATTCTCTTCCCAAGCCTAAAAGTCAACCTGCTCTGGTTCTTAAAAGGTAGAAAGAAGACCCTAGGTTTTATTTCCCTTCCTCCAAATAAATCTTGAAATTTAGCACATGTATCATGGCAGAATAACTGCGTGTAAGATGTCAATTTCACAAAATGATATATTTCAGACAGTATACAAAATTTGATGGTGGAAAAATAAGATTTTATAAATGAAACATTTAAGAGACTCTTTTATTATTTGCTTTTCAGTTTAGTGTTGCCTTTAAGGTATAGCATTTTAGTTTGGCAGCTATAATAAATGACTGAAGGAAATTGAAGATGATAATTCAACATTTCAAGATGCTGCTGCTTAAATGAATGTAGACCTATCTAGGACTTGAATTAAAGTTTATAGTCATACAATATTTTAAAACCAAGTACCCAGGATATTCATGGTGATATGATTTGAATGAGATGATTAGGAGAAATAGAAAGGAATACCTCCAATTCCTTGCTATGTAGGCATTATCCATTGAGATGCTATGTTGAAAAATGTTATTGCAAAAAAAAAATAGAAGCTTGTTATGCACAATTTGTTAAGTATAGCTCATCTTGGACCTTTTTCAAAGAAGTTTGGTTATTAAAGTAAAAAATATATATATAACAAAGAACTTTCCCTGATTTTGTGCTATAGTGATGGATTGCTATAGACCACGTTGTAAAGAGTCTGGCTTTGTTTTGTTTGGTGACCTTTGATTGTTCTGCCCATTCCTTGACTTTTTAAACTGAAGTCATTTGCTACCCTAGTTCTGATTCTCTGCTGTTTTTCCCTTAAGAAATCATTATTTAAGGAAATACATAGTAGCTACTGGTTTTTGTAGGGTTTTGACATTTGTGATTTTGACTGTGAATGGCTTTTAGAGGTTCACAGAAGATATAATACTTTTCATTTTGCCAGAGCACAATCTTAATTCCTGCTAAATTCCACATAGGAAGACATCATTCAGCTAATGATGTAGTGTAACTAGCCTCTGAACATTCACAGTTTTTTCTTTACTTGATAGTCTCATTTATTCACTCATTCCTTCAATAATTACTTACTGAGCTTCTGTGTTCCAGGTTTTATTTTAGGTACAGGAGATTCAGCAGTTAATCAAACATGGTGGTAGTGGTAGTAGTAGTTAAACTTTTTTTTTTTTTCCAGTTTTGGGGATCAAACTCAGGGCCTTGTTACATGCCAGGAGAGCAGCCTATCACTGAGCTACCCCTGGCTCTGAACTTTTTAATCTGTAAAAAATGGCTGCTATGGGTTGAATTATGTGCCCCCAAATTCATATATCGAAGTTCTAAACCTCAGTAACTCATAATGCCACTTTATTTAGAAATGGGGATGTTGCAGATGTAATTATAGTGAACATCAGGTCTTTAGGGTGGGTCATAATTCAATAGAACAAGTGTCCTTATAAAATGGGGAAATTTGGACATACACACAGGAAAGGTTTGGGTTGACACTTTTATGTGTTAAGGAACACAGAAAACTTCCAGCAAAGCACTGGAAGCTAGGTTAGAGTCTTGGGATAGATGCTCTGACCTCAGGAGCCAACTCTGTTGACACTGTGATCTTAGACTTCCAGCCTCTAGAACTGTAAGATAGTACATTTCCTATTGTGTAAGCAACTCATTGTGTATACCAACCCACTTTGTTATGGCAGCCCTGGCAAACATCACCCAGGCTCTCAGATGAGGGGAAAGTGAAAAACATCCATAACTTGGGTGTGGCAGTGTGTGCAAGAAACTGACAAAAGGTGAAGATAAAATTCTGAAAAAAATCTGGAACCTGTGTAAATTTATTCAGGAATATATTTGAATTTGGGCAAAGATCTCAGGACTTGATACCTTGAAATGTCAAGAGTCTGCCATATGCTTTCTGAAGCCAAAACATTCAAACCTTTCTAACAGGTATTGTCAGTTATGATTGAGTACACCATCTTTTAAACTTTGTTATCTTGGTTTAAAGAAGCTCATTTCCCTGAAGGAAGAAAACTCTGTCAGGTTTCCATGGAGAAGAGGCTTTCGCCAGCCTATTATCATGTGTCATGTGATCTTTTCCTAATGTAATACAGCAGTCAGGTTCAAATAATGAAAATAAATACTTAAAACATCTTACACAAGTTGTGTGTAATTTGTACTCTTGGATGAGCACATACCACTTAAAATATCCCATATGGAATTCATCTGGATAGATGTTTTTTAATGTCTTTCCACCCTTCCCTCCCCAAATTCTTAAAATGTATAATATGGTATTCAGTTTTCTTTCTTTAAAATTTGGAATTAGAGAATT